CAAAATCGCCTAAGTATAAAATTGCCTTCCTTTCGTCTGGCTGCTGCTTTCTTCGTATACAAATCCATCTCCTTCATCCTCACAGACAATCGCAGCTAAATTGCCCCTCACTTGCTTGCTCGCTCATCTCCTTTCTCTCCTCCCATTGCACGATTCCCAACATCCAGGAAAAATACCATTAATAAAAACTAATGCATGGCCCTTTCTTCATTCCTAACTCGGCAGTTACTTCGATGATTTCTTCTGCCTTTATTCTTTCTCTCTTTCGTTTCGTTCCGTTTCGACGATTCCAAAAGATCAAAGGATCAAAATTTGCGCATTCTGAGCGATGGATTTTTGCTTTTTCATCCTTTCCATCATTCCAAGCACGCAAGAAAAACAAAAAAACAAAAAACAAAACAAACTAAACAAGATTGATGGAGCAAAAAATAAACAACATAAAAAGTCCGTAGGGAACATAAAACATGTAAACGTTAAAGGGTCTTAATTCCATCATCTCATTCATCTTTCGTTAAGAGGGGTTCGCATAAATGAATGAACTGATTGAAGTGAATAAAATCTGATCATACAAATAACATGTCGTTTGTTTCGTAAAAGGGTCGTGGGAAATTCTTCAATTTCGATCGAGTAGATAGATCAAGTAAATCAATCAATCGATAAAACAAAATTTCAAAAGTAAAAGCAGAAAATCAACGCTATGCCGTGCCGTGCCATAGAAAAAGGAAAGAGAGAGAAAAAAGAAATAAACAAATTAGCTTCTTTCGCAAGTCCACGGAGAACGCAGATGTGGGAAAGAAGGGGTAGGAAAAATATTCTCTCCTTATCATTTCATATCATGTCATGAATGGCATTGATTCGTATGTCTGTGGATAGAAAACAGACATGTGTAACATTTGTACAGTCGATGATGCAATATGGGTATACAGCATGCGGGAAGATATATATTTGCAAATAGGGAGGATCGTTTCATTCATTCATGATGTTGATGTCATGGCGCCGAAGTAAATTCTTGACCACCGTAGATTAGTTGGCGCGAATGACGAGCTTGGAGAGGAATTTATTGGAGAGACAGTCGAAGTCACGACGATCGAACTTGGCGTCTGGTCGAGTTTTGAGGTAAGATTCTAGGGCGGGGTTAGTATACTGATGGTTGTGGTATGGGAATGAGGGTAAACTCACCATGCTTAGTGACATGACCTCTCATTTCGGTCATGGCCTCGCAGACTGCAACATTGTTGTTAAGGAGTTGTCCATGTCTTCTAGTCTCCCAGTCGGTGAAAGCAGGGAGCTTTTGAGAAATAGCATGGAAGAGACCGACGATAACGCCGACTGGTGTAGTCTCCATATCGTTGCAGAATTTATTGACGGCGGCTTGATCAGGAACACGGTAATGGCAATCAAATTGCATTTCTTCCCAGACGGCAAGGAGAATAGATGCAAGCATGAAGATAGTAGGCCAGTTCTTGAGTCTGTCACCACTGTAGACACTGGAGTAAAGCGACGATAGTTCTTCGAGAATCTCCTTTTGCAATTCTCGCCACATGTCGGCTAGGGCACATTTGATTTGAAAATTGATCATGACCGGTGCGACGACCTTTCCGTTGAATTTTGAATCCTCGTCGTCGATAATTCCTTCCATTGGGTGCTCATCTCCTCGTTGCTCAACCATGGTAACATGTAATGTGAGATTATACGCAAGAACGAGTTTCAATGCTTTGCGGACGACAGAAACCTTCTCTTTCATGTAGTAGCGGTGAGCAGTCTTTAAGATCTCAGTAATGAATGGAGTGCCCTCAAAGTACTCATCAATGAACTCTTCAAATGGCCCATCAATATGCTTGTCAAGATACTCTGACAAGGCTTCATTCGAGACACCTTCGGAACCAGCTGACATTCTTTCCGTTCGAGTTTCAAACTCAAGAGGTTCTTCGTGAATACCCTCAACCCAGTCGACGTTAAAGCAACTGTCATCACTCACATAGACCTCTCTAGCCATAATCGGAAGAGCAAATCCATATCCATGGGTAATCCAGAGCAACTCCTCTTTTTGCGAGAAACCCTTGATGTTGTAAACCGACACTCCACGACCCACGTGACGTTCATAATCAGCCTTCCAGTCTTTCATAAAGTACCCAATATCCTTGATATCGATACGAGTACAAGGAACCTGCCATAAACGAGCATGCGAGGGTTGGCATCCAGCACATGGCTCACCTTTATCGCAAGTCTTCTTCAAAAACTTGCAACGTAAGCAAGCCCTAAGTTTCCTTATTTCGCTGGCTTGTTTCCTTTGCTCTGGTAGTAATGGTCCACGTCTTCTGCCCACACGCTTCTCGGTTGTGCCATCCTTCTTTCCGTTGGAAGTGCGGCGGATAACAGGTTTGCTAGCTTTGGCGGTAGGGCTCTTTCGTGGTGCGGGGTTTCTTCTGGCTGGTGGTGATGAGGTGCTTGATGGGGAGGCGCGGTTTGAAGTCGTTGAAGTAGCGGTCGATTTTGATGAAGGTGCTTGGATAGGTTGGGGAGGGACAGCCGCGGCAGGGCTAATAATGTCGTGATTATGGTGATGCGCTTCGCCGTGGAAACAATTCCTATGTCCACCAGTAACATCCAAATAGCTGTCGGAACCCGGTGAATATGGCGAATATGGGTAAGATGATAAATCCTCGAAACTGCCAAAAGTATCTATTGATTGATGTCCGTCAGATTGAGATGAGTCCGAGTGACTTCGCAAATGTAGTGTCTGTCCTGGGTTGAAAATTGCGGCATTCTGCGCTTGTTGATATGTGCTGTAATCCTGATACGTATCGACCGTCGACCAACCGTGATCGCTACTCGAACTAGGTAATGATAAAACTTCCAAGTATGTACCCGTCGGTGAGTTGCTTCCAAGGCTCTGTCGTCCTATACTTGGTAGTCCATGGCTCGCCGTGAAATTCATCGCATACTCGAATTCATGCCAATCTTGCCATTGGTTTGCTTGTGCCTCCACCGTTTGTGCGAGTCCATTGAATGGAGCGTCCATCTGAAGGCTGGCTTCGAGCGCTGCCTGTGTCGTTGCAGGTAAGCCATAATCGAGCGGTGATGTTTGATATGGGCTGCCAAATGTGTACTGTGGTCCCATCAACGAGTTATCCGGAATAAAATGCGACAGTTGCTGAGGAGAAAGTTGTTGGGGTGACAAATGCTGAGGTTGTTGCTGAATCGGCCAGTCTGTCAATAATGTTGGAGAATTAAGATGATGCCCTGTTTGATACTGTTGGTGCCCACTGTGCCCTGGCGAAGTTTCCCGTCGTTCGTCAGATCCTCCTGAGGCCATATCCAGCGGTAGTGGCCAAGTCGAGCGCGTAGCCATATTGGTAAATTGGTATCGTGGGTCACGTTGCTCGAAAGAAAGGTCTAATAGACCTTCTGACGAGAAGTCAAGATTTGAGCTCATTGTCGCTGATTACTTGTTGGAATGGTCAATAGTATTGTAAGAAAGAGGGTCGAAGACACCGCTCTTTGAAGAAGAGGGAAACCTCACGATGTTAGTCGGTGTGCGGCCTATTGGTAGTAGAAGTTCGTAGGTTGAGGATAGGATCCACATAAGGAGCGGTGTGGGAATTCGGCAAACTTATACGACCCCAGCCATTTTGAGCCCACTGGCAAGCCTTCGCCGAATCAGGTGTGACGGCTGGAACCACAAGCGTCCTCTTACTGCATGGGGCAGCATGAGACTACTGCGAGCAAAAAAGTCATGTGTCCGATGGATTTGATTTGTATGGTAGATTTTGGTAAAGTCCCTGGGTGAGCGAGGACTATTCAGGGCTAACCCATGGAATAACAAGCAATAGCGATTGGAAGAGGTCTTAAGAGTCGCTTAATAGTGGGTTAATGCCACTAAAAGTTAACCCTAGAATCCTGGATAAAATCGAGCTGATGCTTAACTTTCAAGAGGGGCTGGAGGGGTGGAAGCTAGGGAAGTGGGGAAATAGCCTGTAAGTAGTTAAAACTGATGCTCAAACCAACGGCGCAGTGCTGAAAACATAGCTATATAATAGCGGGTGCTAGGCCCTCTGTACCACTATTTTGAGTCAAGAATAACCTGTTGGCCTTGTTGTTCAATCCAATACCTGACAATAGTACATGAAAATCTGTACAACAAATCATGAAATAGGCTCTGAAACGCTGTAGGCGAGATCGAATGATTTGAGTGGCAATGATTGAACAGGTTCTGGACATCCACCCAAAAGACCTGAATATAGTATTCGATTTAAATGGCAGAGGGCTCCATCTTGACCCAATTATCACTCTGAAAATATTTTCATGGTCCATCCTGGAGTTTTATGTACTTTTCAAGCCCCCTTCCCACATCAAAAATGTCACTCAAGTGTGGCCCTCTCTTCTTTGAAATTTTTTCTTTAAATCCCCTCGTCTGTATTGCGCACGTCTCCCTTTCTGGCTTCGGCATGTCAGATCTTTCACCTGGGGCCGAAGGGGCAGGGGCTGCTATTATCTGAGCTACCACACTCCGGACGATCAAGTCTGGTAGTTTCCGTCCAAACTTATGTTTCGAGCGTTGTCAAACCTCAATAGCTCAATAATTCGAGAATGAACGGACCAGTACTGTATGTGTCAGTGATGATACCTTGAAGATTGTTGTCAGACGGGGATCGCCATTGATTACCTGTATGTACTCTGTACAGTAATCAAAATAGGGATCCATACCGTGTACCTACTGTAAGTTTCTATCTCAGTGCGCTATGTCCTACGTGGAGGAAGCGGCAGAGATGTAACATTCGGGGTAGCAGTGAACCAGGGCATGCCGTCCTGCAATCGGTTCAACAACCAGTTCTTGTCGGAATGATATTAGATGATTATCATTAATGATTACCGTTACGGCGCTTACCCTAACCATGTGAGATTAATACTATGCGTACCTAACAAGATACTACCGGCATCGCACAAAATAGAAAGCATCTCCTCATCGAAACAATTTCAGATTGAAAATATCTCGAATATTCTGCTTCAATATGTGAGATGAATTATTGGTGGACCTTGCCAACCTGCCAACGAGATCTGAGACACCAACAGGTACAAAGCTTATGATAAGATGAAAAAAGCAATCATCTAACAGCATTCATGCCCCTCATTTTCCCCCTCCATCCCCTCATCGTTTCGCAATTTCATCATTGACTGCGCACTACCCTTACGATTTGTATTGATTGAGTAGGTGTCACTCAGAGTAGTGTAACTCCCGATGGTTTCTTTGATTAAACTCGTATCTTATCCTCTAATAGAGCGGCCCATCCCTCCAACAGCTGCAGATGGAAATTCATGCGAAAACGCCTCAACACCACATGCCTGCAGCGGATGAAATCCTTTAAAATGTCTTTATTGGCCAATTCGAAAAACGTTCTGTAAATCAGCGCATGCCGACATATTCCTCACATAGTGTCCACGCCTTCATATGAGATCGGGCATTTGTCAGTATCGGAAACAGTTGTTATATCATCACCTTTGAGCGACAACAATTCTTGCTAATTTCCCCCATAAGGTACTTCCATTTCCATTTCCCTGTCCGTTGTACTTCGGAATGTGGTTATGCTACGAGCGGCAAAGAAAGACTCGATAGAAGGGACTGGGTCCTTGAATAAATTAGAGCCTTGGTAACTGTAAGCATTCAGCATCTGCAAATATACGCTTCGGGTGAGGAGGTACTGTACCACTCAATGATCATCTGTCGGCTAAGGCCGAAGGATAGCAGCCCAATTATCAGAAAATAGAAAAGATTGAACTTGCCTGCAGGCATGCCTTGCGGCAACATGCATTTCGTGAATGTACTCCGTAAATGCGAATGTAGATGCAAATGTGTTGTAACAGAATTCCCTTTTAGATCTTTGGAAAAACCGTGGAAGATGTATGGAACGTTACTTGCATTGCATCTTCAATTGAAATTTACAATGGTACAAATCCAAATTCAAATTCAACCCAATGCGAGTTGTTTAGTGAAGATTGAAGATTGAAGATGAGATGGTCTTTCACCTTGGCTAGGCTCCGGTGACCTTCATTGGTTCCTGTGATAAGAGATTTTTGTAAGCGAGCACTTGAGCACTTAAGCACTTGGACTGGACTGGGATTGGGTTTTGACCAGTCCCATCACCCCATCACTTTGTTAAATCAGTAACAATAGTAAAGGCCCAACAGCGAATCATGATGGATGATCATTGTATTCCTTGAATTTTGAGACAAAAGACATCCAACCCACATGACTTTCATCATCAAAGGGAAGAAGTATCACCATAGTGTGAAATTCAATCGACGTGCAGTGGAAGAAAAGAATGTGAACAAAAAGTCTTCACCTCCATCCCCTTCCAGCAGATTAGACCAGCTTCCATACAGTGATTCATTGAACCATCAACCGCAAGGGCCTGGCTTCATCATACAAGAATATTCATCATCCAAGGAAGATATTGAGGCTGGAGTTGACCAAGATATCATTTACGGCTCATCCCGACCAATTAAGGAAGAAAAAGAAGCTTTGGTGAATATGATTCCCGATATCTTCACGGAGTATCCCTTGCTCCGGGATATGCTGCAGACTCAAACCTCTCACCTCCAAGATCAAACCATTCAAGAATGTCTTCCTTTTCTCTCAGGTAAGGAAGCAGGATTAACGTATTACCCATATGGGGTTCCTCAACTAAGACGAGAAAAACATATTCAGTTTCTTCACAAGCAGCTACAGAAGTTACCCTCGGCATATGTTGGTGCTGATGCGAGCAGGCCATGGATGTTCTACTGGGCGTTGGCTGGTCTTTCCACTTTGGGTCAGGATATATCATCATATCGGGAAAAAATCATATCAACATGTCGTCCCATACAAAATGTGACGGGAGGGTTCGGTGGCGGAAATGGTCAGATGTCACATTTAGCTACCACTTATGCAAACGTTCTATCAATATCTATGGTAGGTGGGCAGGAAGCGTTGGACATTATTGATCGCAAAGCAATGTGGAAATGGCTAGGCAAGTTGAAGATGTCCACTGGAGGTTTTAGAATGGCTGTTGGTGGCGAGGAAGACATTCGGTAAGATTCCCGAAAGTATGACAGATGCAGGACGAAGTGCTGACAATTTTCAAAGTGGTGCATATTGTGCGCTCATTCTTATCACTCTCCTGAGTTTACCTCTCGACCTTCCCCTAGACGCTCCCGCCAGGTCATCAAACTATACTACTTTTATCGATGGACTTCCTGAATGGATCTCAAGATGTATGTTTCACACAAAGCGAATCAAAAGCTTAAGCTAACAGAACAGGTCAAACATTCGAAGGTGGTATAGGTGCTCGACCAAATGTTGAAGCCCATGGTGCATACGCGTTCTTAGCGTTGGGTTGTTTGTGCATCTTGGGTGAACCGCACATCACGATACCTCAGTAGGTCGAAATTTCGTAGCTAGTAGTCTAACGAATCGTAATTCTAATCCATATTTAGGTATCTTGACGTCCCGGGCTTTATTTCATGGCTATCAGCACGTCAGTATGCGCCGGAAGGCGGCTTCTCAGGTCGTACGAATAAGTTAGTCGACGGGTGCTACTCCCATTGGGTTGGAGGATGTTGGCCCTTATTGGAAGCTTGTCTTGAGGGTCCAACGCAGCAAACTCAAAACGGTCCATCCTCGTCTTCCATTCCAATAAATCTCTACAGCCGCGAAGGTTTGATCAGATACATTCTCTGCTGCTGTCAGGATACAGGAAGCCGGGGTGGATTAAGAGATAAGCCCAGCCAGTAAGCATCAAATGCATATTCCTTCTTAATAACCCACAGCGGTGCTGATCTTCTTTTACAGTCGCTCTGATTCGTATCATACATGCTATGTCCTTGCGGGACTCAGTTCCGCACAGCATAAATGGCATTTTAACACATCTGCACAGAAAGAGGAATTGGGCGGAGAGCTCGTTTCACCGTATCAATGGACGGCCGAACCTTATGTTGAGACAACACAGATATATGATGAGGGAGATAGAGTGGGGACTCTCCACCCGGTTTTCGTGATACCAGAGGGCGTTGCTGAGGCGACACGGGCCTACTTCGCTGCGAAAGGGACTTTTTAGAAAGTGCCAACATTATGATTATATGGGCTAAATGATTACATTGGCTCAGAATTGGATTATATGGGATGGAAAAGTCTACACATATGGATGGCGCCATTTTGAATGTTCATCAGCGCCGAGGAAGGGCATTGTATATCACATGACGTACATAACCTATCCATCCGGTAAGATATATTTATCAATGCATTAGTTGAGAACTTGAGTCCAACGATCCAATTGAATTCCCTTCTTTTTCCGGTGATTGGGCTTGAGACGGCTTGATTTTGCATTCTTCCTCCCCTTCGTCGACATGGAACGTGGGTGGAAAATTGAGGGTGATTAAAGCAAGTTAAAGCAAGCGGCGTGGTGAAGTACATTAACGCCAAAGGCTAGAGGACGATTACGAGATACGTCGTACACAATCTCTCCGTCCAGTTCCGGACCAAAGTGAGGGAGTTAATTGTTTCCTCTTCACATGAGAATCCATATGATAGATCAAAAAAATACTCTATTTTCTACTTTTAGCTCCTGGGTAAGTTGCATGAAGTTCCTCCAGTACTTTTCTACCTTTTGATACCGAGTAGATATTTTACTAGACTGGTGGAAAGTGGAGTAGAGGAGTGGATGCTGGGGGAAATCCCTTTCTTATGGTTCGCCAATTCATCGGAAGAATAGGAAGATCAATAGAAAACTGATGATCGAGGTAACCCCCCACACTGAAGGTTGGTCGGTCCTTCGGGTCCTACCTGTTTTCGGTCTCTCTTTGCAATCGTCATGAGCTCACCGCAAGGTACCACGAAGTACTTTGTTATTGTACAACTGAGAAGTGGATATTGGAAACACGATATATATTTGGTCGACCATGTGAAGTGTTGTGTGTCGTGTTGTGTTAGACTTTTGGGGAGATGTCGTATCATTGTACCGGTATCAATTGAGCCAGAATCCGAGAGGGAAGAGGGGGTCCCCGATTTGGGGAGCTCAGAGATGGGTACTTTTATCGATCTGTAACCTTAGATACTGTATGTGAAATATTTCAGCTCCAGTAATTGTTGTCCGTACATGCATTCCATCCCACTTCGCCGCTTATAGTCCCTAGACACAGGAGAATTCCCCTCTTACAAAGTTACGAGAAGAAACAAGAACCCCTTGACTTACTCGCTAGTTGCATCGAACTGCTGCAGCTGCAGGCCATTTCCGCTCTCCTGTATTTTTATGTAGGATATACCCACTTCGCGCATTTACTCGGGACGGACCAATTACTTTTTCCTCCACAGCAAAGTTCTTCCGACTTGCCACCTTTTTTAGTCGATGCAACTGGATGTGTACGCAGTAGATGATGCGAATTGGAACATGCGATGCATCCCGCTATGTCAGATCAACTTTTTACGGTCGTATTCCAAATGTCACCGAGCTTACATTACATTTGTGCCAGACGGCAGAATACTCGGTATGATAGAATGATCATTGGCAGTTGGTAATTTGCGGGATTCCTTTTGGCACATATGCTCGCTCAATGGCAATGGGAGGGTACTCTGCCAATGGCCCATTTGTGAAGCCGGCCAGGCACCTGGTCAATGTAACGGTTGGATCTTCAGTAGAACTTCGGGACGGTACGACGGTTCTTCCCATAACCCTTCTTTTTAAATCATGAATGAATGAAAAATGAAAAACGAAGACTAAAAAGGAAGTTGACAATATCTACGTAGGTATTGGAAATTTGTAAAAGAAAAGATAGAAAATTAATAACATTATTGTACTTTGTGCTGCACAAGGCGTTTTTGTTTCATGTTCTGTGAGGGAAGGAATTCTTTAATCACGAACCATCGGTGAATACCTAATGTTTCCAACTTTTTCTTTCCAACTTCATCCTTTATCCTTCATCGTCCTTATCCTCTACTCTGTATACAAATTGCAATCAATTCATACATAACCTCATCTAGAGTACATCTGGGCAGCGACCTCTTGACTTCTAGATCTACGGTATCTTTACGCTTTGCTGAATATACTCTACCGTTATTCCATTTTCAATCTCAACGGCATATGAACATTACTATTGAGAAGTCAAGCGCACTGCCAACTCATCAAGCATAACGCACGACAACCTTGTTTACGGTTAGTATTAGGCCTGGCTGATTTTTGCCTCGCACTTTTTGGATCCCTTCACGAATCAATTACGATGAATATTGAAGCACAATACTCGATGGACGCCGGTCAATTCCAATTTCCAGCCAATGTTCATGCACTGAAGGCTCACCGACTTCGTGTCAAGTCGTACTCCAGTCATTCCGCGTCAATCGCGCTGCTTGTTGCGATCTCTCTTTCCCTTTCTCCTTCCTCGTCTCCCTTCACGACCCCAATGTACCGTGGTGGTGCGGGGCAGTGGGGACATATCCCGAGAACAGAAAACGCCTTAATATTTCCATATGTGTTATTAACAACCACCCAATGGCACCATATCAAAGAAAGCACAAGCCATTTTTGGCCAGAGTTTTCGATTTCAATGTATCGGCAGACGGTAGGTACACCAGTACAATAGATGAATTTCTGGAGGATTATGTCCCTGGCCTAGCGAGCGATATTGACGTTTTCCTTGCATTTGAACCCATGGTTCTCTTGTGTTGCCATCGATTTCTTTGCATTAGCGGCCAACCCAGCGGATCTCTCTGGAAAAACGTCCGTAATTGCTGAAGATTTACTCATCTTTTGCCATTCATCCAAGATGCTACAGTATCCATTGAGTCTTGGCTCTTTTCTCTGCTTGCGGTCCGCAAACTTTTCATTTCCCCCCATGGCAATGGAATGTTCCCATCTTTTGTCCGGATCAGTGGGACAAGGTATCTTGATGAGTCCTTTTGCCACCCCGCTGCATCGACAATTTCACTGCCTGCAGACGTTTCTCAGAACGGAGATTTGGTACGTCTAAGCTATTCAAGATCATCGTTTCTATACGTTCCAATGCTGTGGTGGAGTTTGCCTAATTATGTTGGTTTGTTATCACTGGCAACGGCACACGCCAACACATCGCTCGCCATCATATCCAAAGAGCCGCATTCATGACTTGCAGATGGTTCAAGCCATTGTCCTATCTAAACATCCCCTCAATTCTACTCCGATAAATAACTCCATGATCCTTGTTCAACGCTAACAACTAGACTCTGCGATAAATCACACATGTCTCGCTATTAATGAAAGAAAGTCCTGCACAGAACCCCTAGAACATCCACTCAATCACAGTCAGCCTTATTCTTCAACACCACGACACTGCCCATACATCATTGTATTCACATACACGGCACTGAGTGTGTGCATATTCCCTGTATACCTCAAACACTGGGCTCAGTTGCATCGACATCGTCAGATCTATAGCGTTCAGACACTACCTAAGCTCAAGGCATACTCACTACCTTGTATCAATCGAGGAAGGAGTGTCTTACCACACTTCAGACGACGGGCATAACTCCTCTTTTGAGAGATCTAGTCATACTCTGACATCTCAAGAACACCACGATGGGGTTCTACATGGCATACCTAGAGAGTACGTTGATTCATGAGTTCGGAGCTTTCCTCTTTACCACCTCACTAGAAGTTTTCATTCGATCCGGCTCTTCGATATAATCCTGCCCTGGCGGGTGTTGCATCAAAAGAAGGCTGAATCGATCGCCTCACCATGTCATATATTACCGTTCTCATGGGATGCATAATCCCGCTGCGCTACCCAACACATCCTAATGGATATGCTATTCCTGATGGGTCAATCTTATGGACGCCAGCGTTACATTCATTCCCAAAATACAATTTGTGCAACAAATTCCCTGGTCTAGCCGCTGACATGTAGACAGATTTGTGCCGTCGACGAGGTTGGCAAGGTCCCCAGTACAAGACGTACCGCGACGCACAAGGCTTCACTTGTCTCGTGCTCGTCAACGGACAGGAGTACCAAACGGATCTAGCCTACCAAACCGATGCCCTAGCTCAGGAGAACGCCGCCACACAGGCCTTTATGGTTTGCCGTCAGTCATCAGTCAATGGAGGGATGCTGGCTCGTAATGGTGTCATCCAAGGATTGCCTGCCAACGAGACAGGTGGCCGCCACAAGAAAAGAAATGATCGTCCGCGGCAACATTCCGTGACGCTCAGCAGCAGCTCATCAGGCACATCTCCGGAACCGGAAAATAGAGAAATCAGATACCCAATGACGGTCGGCAGTTAAGAAGTGACTGCGTGTAATCCCATGTTGGTACGATGTGATTCATTACGTACCATCCAATAATATACGAACGACATACAGCAAGGACCTCGAGGCCAAAAAAAAATATTATGATTTACGACCATCCATGACAAAGAACGGATCATTACGGGCGGTATATTATCAAAAGGAAAGGATTTTCCACTGGCATATTGCAATTGATGAATTTCTCACGAATTTTTCATATCTTCAGTTTATTCATTCACAAAATGATGAGATTAATGAATTTTACGAATTTTCTTAAAACGTCTTATGTTTTCTTCTTCTTTTCATGATTTACTTTCTCTCTTTTTGTTTGGGGCGATGAAGAATCTACACTACTACAAGTACAAATACTATTGCAAAATACTATTTATGCATGACGAACGGCCCACGATTCATGGGTATCACAGCACCGGAATTGTGGGAGAAAACGAGGCGACTCGAATCCCATACACGGTCATTACGGAGAGGCAACTTATCTTTTGTGCGTTTTGAAGATCGGATTGGTGGCGGCCCAGTTGTGATGTTTTTACGTGCTAGTTGATCGTGAGGAGAAAAGCAAGTGAGCGGGTGAGAAGAGATGGCGATGTTTATGCTTATGTTTATGTTATGGTGCGGTATAGCATGCATGATTTTTATACAGGACGAAGGTGGAGGTTAGGTTACACTCTCTGAGAGAAATAGCGCCGCATTATATGGAGGAAAATCTGTTTTTTTTTTCTATTGAGTGAGTGTCTGAGAGATAAATAACATGACGAAATGATAAGGGGCTCACGCTTCTTGAGGATATGGATTCTTCGGCTTGAGGGATGATTTATGATTGATGGATGGATACTTTTTTTTTGGTGATGATTTATGACGATGGGGGCTTTGGTTATTTCTTGATTTGATATGATATGATATGATAAAGAGAGACAGAGAGAGAGAGAGAGAGAAAACTCTTAGGGTAACCTAGTTAGTAGGTACCCTTATTTTACGAATTTACTTGGTTTGGTTCTTCTGATTATAGCTTGAGAAAGGTATTTATGAATGAATGAATGAGTGAATGAACGGACATTTTAGATATGGATATGGATATGGATATTTTCTTCTGTGAATTGTGATTTATGATTTATGACTTATGTGAAGAGTACTTTTGGGTGTTTACTCGTAGTGGAAGATTCATATGGTGGGTGTAAGTGATGTGATGTGATAGTAACGTAGTGGTAGTTAGGGGCAATAACTAAAGTTCCTACTTAGATATATTCCTACCTAGGTATTTATATGTAACGAATGGTAAATAAAATAAAATATCTTAAATCCTGATTCCTCATAGTAAACTTCATTAACTATTATTTCTCCCCCCATTAACTCCCCCGCTCCCCACCCCCGGCAATTATAAGGCCATATATACACACACAAACAACATAGAGGATATTGAATATTTCCCCCTAGTCTATTCCCTTTCCTTTCCTTTGCCCTTCCCTTTCCTTCTCTTTTTCAATCCCCATCCTCTCGTCTCTGTGCTTGTCCTTCCACCCCCTCGATTCTAAGATTATACTCCTGCTTCCTAGAATCTAACTTCCTAAAATCTAGATGATTATGATTATCGAATTTGTTTTCTTTCTTGTATATCTATATCTACTTCTTTCTGCTTCTCCTTTCATTTTCTATCTTTTATCCTCCTTAATATAAGAGGTGAGCTGAAATAGAGAGCTCGTTAATTAGTTATTCTTTGGTTTTGATGGTATCAGGTGTTAGTTGCTAGGTGCTAGACTGTAGAAATAGGTGCTGGTAATGAAGGATGTGGTGGTTTGATTGAAGGATAGAGTGAAGGCTAGAGGGGTGTGGGTTTGGGTTGTCTATCTGGGGATTGGGGGTGTTATGGGTTGAGGAAGTACTAGCGTGGAGATTATTTTTCTGCTTATTTTGACCTGTGAGAATTTTGTAAATCTCGCTGCAGGAATCAGGTGAAGTAGCTACTTCGCGTGCGGCGCTGGTGTGGAGTTTATTTGTTATGGGGGGTTTTTATATAGGTTCTTTGGTTTTCATAGAATAGTTATAGGAGCGATGGTTTGAGTGGAGGGTTGCGAGATGCTGTGGTTTGAGGACTAGGTTTTCGACGTAGGGAAGTTGGGTGGGATATTTGTTGTCAGGTCCGAAAGTAGATAGATTTTTCAGTAACGGTATCGATGGGTAGACCTCTCATAGAGAGAATTTAGAGTTCCGGGGATATTTGACCATTATTGGCCGTACTGCCTGCTTCCGGGACACCTATTCCTGAGGGTAAAAACGGGCGGTATGGAAGAGGGACTTGCTGCCTAATTCGAGAACCTAGAACGGACAAGATGGATATTGGGATGGGGAATTGAACGTGCTAATTTCATGCCAGAGAGAACAAATAGACCTTGCCCTTTGTGAAAGATATGGGATATGGCTTCTGTGTGAAGTTTTCTTAAGGTCGGTTGTAATCTATGGTGAGAGTTTGTCGGTCTATGGGACGCATCATGCCTACTAAGGCGTATATTCTGTCTTTGTGCTCTGTTGCTTTGGATCAAATGATTTTGAGTAATAGATCCTGGAGATATTCACCTTGCTTATTGATACTGCCATGCGTAGATTATTGAAAAGATCGATTGTGATAGTACTATGAGGATACTCGAAACATCAGTGATAAGCTTACTACTTTCATTCTTATCCTCGAGACCTGCTTCCTTCACAATCATTCCCATTTTTGTAAATTTCATCATCACCATCTTTTCTCATGCCTTCAGCAATGAACTCCACGTTGTCCAAGTAAATCCACAACCAACAAGAGGATCCTGATTCGCTAGCACGCAACCAGATCAAAACCAGCTTTGCCATAAAGTAAAGCTCACCCACTGATCCAACTTGCTCAGTACGTCCCTTGACATCACTTTCATTAATACATAGAGCATCGACTCAAAGCCATATCTTCGTACCTATGCTGTCTGCAATTGTGGATAGATATTGATTGGTTGAGCGCACAGGTCAAAGGTTGATGGATTACCAACTGTGGTAAGCCGAATCATTTGCGGAAACTTCCTTGCAAATAATAGTCAAGCTGCAATATGGAGCTGGAATATGCCTTTACCACTTTCCTCTGAAACAACCATTGTGAGGTCAATGATATTTGAGGTTTCTGCTCTCAAGAATGTTGAGTATATATATAGATCGCATCAGACTATCTTAGTGCCAGCATTAGCACAATATAATTGTCGACGTTTTTGATCGGCAACAAGCTCATCAAAGCACCGATGATTAAAGATTGTGGCGTCTTCTGCCACACTATAATTCATAACTCGTGATGTTTTCTGATACGAAGATGGATGAAAGCTTGGATCGGCGACTTCCACCACCTCGTATCATGTATGAATGTAAGAAGCACGTACCAGTTCATCTTACGACTTCATATTATGTATTTTCATGCCATTGAAGGACACGAGGTTGGTGGATGAAGTGGCTCTGCTTTTGATACGATATTTCCTGCTTGAATACCGAAAGGGAAGTCTGCGTGGGGTTTGTAGGTAAGGCTAGACTTTGGATGTTGGTGAGATGGTGGTGGTATGGTGGTGGTACTACTCATGATTATATGCAATGGAAGGAAAGGTACAGATAGATATCCAGTCCTGATTTCGCGAAAAGGGGGGGTGAAGGAGGTTGTGGTGTGAAATGAAATGAAATGATGTCGACTAGGTTCCCTTACAAGCCAAGCCTTGTTAATCCCAGCATCTTGTTCGATACTCCTCTTTCTAACTTCAACGATACATGATCATGAGTCCTTGGATGGTTCAGCTCCTCATATAACATCAACAATAGGATGTAGAAAGTATAGAAAAGGCCTCGTCAGCGTTCAGGATAGTAGTAGTATGAGTACTGATACTTACATGATAATACGGAGTGTACATGTCGAGATTTGACCAAGCCACACACACACACACATACACACATCAGCATCATCATCAACTTCCATGGTTCGATTATGCCTCCAATTTAAACTCTCTCCAGAGACTAGAACAAGCAGATGAGTGGAGAACGTGTTCTTTCGATTGGATATATGACATTGATGTACACCCGTTGATCCAATTGATTCCCTTTAACTCATCCTTCACAGATCAATTTCATCTTGATTAATTTAATAACTTGCCCCTTTCCCCCTCCCAAGTTCCAACACTATAAACGCTAATCGAGAAATTGGAAACCGAGCCCCCCCAAAATAGCTTTAGCACCGTTGACACAGTGGCCTTCTGATGCTACCCCAAAAACCCTTATTTTACTTTGTACGCACACAACATTTGACATTTAACATCTACTCAACATAAAAAGACAACTACCTACAACCACAACCACACCTATCAACATAAGAACTTTGAGCTTTTTATTCAACTCAACTTTGTTGCTAAATCTTTTAATAGCAAGACATTCTTTGACTTCTATCTAAACAAATTCAATTTAATTCTACAATCTCTTCCTTTCTCTTTTCCAATTGTGCTTGAGTATATCCAATTCACGAGGACAACTCAACATTCACTATCTTCATTACCTTCCTATAGTTGAGATCAGAATCCAACTCAAACCAGATCTTCTCGACACTTGTTCCTGTCCTCTTTAATTGTGGGGTAGAACGAGAAATACACATCACTTTTCTACACATTCCAAATCTCACAAACTTTCAAAATGAAGGGTAGGCATTTCCGCATTCGCAGATCTTCTTACAATGTATCTCTAACATATTCAAATAGCTCTCATTCTTGTCGGTGGCTTTGGCACCCGTCTACGCCCACTCGTACGTTCCCCATGGTCATGATACGATATTCGGAATCTATATGGCGCCCTTCGCGCAAGCTACAGAGTTCCCAATGACATCCATCGACTGACAATGATACCTAGACTCTTACCCTCCCAAAACCTTTAGTCGAGTTCGGTAACAAGCGCATGATTTTACATCAAGTTGAAGCTTTGGCAGAAGCTGGAGTAACAGATATTGTTTTGGCTGTAAACTATCGCCCGGAGGTTATGGAAAAGTATTTGGCTGAGGTATGATTCACTACCACCATTAAAAAAAAAGATAGGGTTACACCGCAGAAGTTAATGCAGGCACTATAGTACGAACAAAGATTCAACGTTAAAATCACATTTTCCATCGAATCCGAACCATTAGGTACAGCCGGTCCTCTTAAACTCGCAGAAGAAATTCTCGGCAAAGATGACGCGCCTTTCTTCGTTCTTAACTCAGATGTCATCTGTGAATACCCCTTCGCAGACTTGGCTGCTTTCCACAAGAAGCACGGTGATGAAGGTACCATCGTCGTAACTAAGGTTGAAGAACCATCCAAATATGGTGTCGTTGTTCATAAACCAAATCACCCATCCAGAATCGATCGATTCGTAGAGAAGCCAGTCGAATTCGTCGGAAACCGCATTAACGCCGGTATCTACATCTTAAACCCAAGTGTCCTCAAGCGCATCGATCTCCGCCCTACCTCCATCGAACAAGAGACTTTCCCTGCCATTTGCGCAGATGGTCAATTACACTCTTTCGACTTAGAAGGATTCTGGATGGATGTTGGGCAACCCAAAGATTTCCTCTCTGGAACTTGTCTCTACCTCTCTTCCCTTACCAAAAAGGGATCCAAACTCCTTACCCCACCAAATACCCCATATGTACACGGCGGTAATGTCTTTGATCGACCCATCGGCCAAAATCGGCAAGAACTGTCGCATTGGTCCCAACGTAACAATTGGTCCTAATGTTGTTGTCGGTGATGTGTTCGTTTACAACGTGTGTCCTCCTCGAGGTTCTAAAGTCAAGGATCATGCTTGGGTTAGGAGCACCATCGTTGGCTGG